TTAGTTTTATTTTGATATTAATTTTTATAGGAGCCACTACCATGCTTATGCAAGAGAAAACATAATAACTAACAGAATAGTAAGCAACTACCTACTCCTGTAACGCAAAAAAAGAAACAGAAAACAATTTTTATGCATACTCCACATAGGTATTAATTGTCTGTCTGCAAGTTGATTTAGGAAGAAAAGATTTTGAATATTTTTTTCTATGCTTCAGTGATATACACATTATATTGGTTGCTAAATTAATACATTTTATTTAATTTATGAAAAATGTTTTATTTTATAAATGTTTTATTCTTGTGTTTCAACGCTTATAGAAATTAATTAATGTTTGGTTCTTTTGTCTTTCTGATATATCTTTATTGTTAGAAAGAGATGTTAGTAAAAACTCTTTCCAGTAATTAAAGTAATATCATGACAAATAGTTCTGAAATTCTATGGATGAACTTGCAGCAGTAATTTAATGATTATGATAACAGTTTAAATGATTCTTGGGTGAGGTCAGAAGTGATGGGTTGTTTCAAACCATGACTTTTTGCAGTTTTTTTTATTGTTTTTTGAAAAAGTATTTATTAATAACCTAATTTAGCCTAAGTTAATCTACTTGTAACTTTTTATAAATGTACTATAAAAATAATGTGGTGTAATTATTTTCTTAAACCTTTAGGTTAACAAACTTTCTAAAATTGGAGGTAAAACTATCAAGACAAATGCAAAAAAATCTGATGCAAAGGTTTGTTAAAAGCAGTTTTAAATAAAAATTCTTTTTAATCTTTTTATTATAGTTTGTTTTAAACTTGTGTCAAAAACATATTTAGCATATATTTTTAAAAGTTTGACAAATTCTAATCAGACATAAAATAAATCTTTTTTTTTATGTCTGATTAGATTTTTTTTTTAAACTGTTTTCTCTTACCTTTGTATTTCCTTGAGCTAAAGAACAACCTTAAAGTACAAAGGTTGATTTGTAATGCATACTTGACCTTTTTTTTTACTCGATATATATACATACATATATATGTACATAAATAAACATACATATATATGTATATATATATACATACATATGCTTAAATGAATATATTATATATATATATATATATATATATATATATATATATATATATATATATATATATATATATATATATATATATATATATATATATATATATATATATATATATATATATATATATATATATATATATAATAATGGTACAATTTAAAGTGTTTTTTTTTATTTGCAAAGTTGTACTTGATAAAAATAAACAAATAAAATTGAACATTTTGAATATTTATTGATTATTATGATAAATTATATAAAATATATACAAAGTATAAATATTTTGCAAAAACACTTTTATTTGCAATATCTGCTTCAACACATTGTGGCATGCTTGCAATTTATTTTTTATAGTTTCTGTCAACTCTGGGTTATTATGCCAGATCTTGATAATCTCTTCCATAAAATCTTGCTTATTAGTAAGTTTTTTTTTCCAATCTCTTGCTTTATTATTTCCCAAATGTTTTCTATGGGGTAAAGATCATGCGAGTTGTCTGGCCATAGCAATACATCAACTAAGCCATAACAGTTTTGATTGTGTGGCAAGTTGCACAATCTTTCATAAATATAAGATTTTTGACATTTGTTTTAATATTTTTGAATTTTTTATGTCATTTTTTGACATTTTAGGCTGGACATCAATCCCTCTTCTTTTAGCCTTCTACAAATGGTCCGGTCTGACACAACAATTACAGCTTCATGGATCTTGCGTTTAGAAGGTGGTCTCCTTAGACCAAACTCTTCCCCTTATAAATTCTTTTTCTTACTTGCATTACGGTTTGGTAAGAAACCTTTTGCGTTGGGTGAGAAACCTTTGGTAAGAAACCTTTGTGCAATTTTTCATTAAGAATAATTTGTGTTTTGTGAAAGACATGTTTATCAATTTATGTTACTATGATATTAATAACAATGTATAATGTAGGTTGTTGACCAATGGTTTATAATCAAAATTTAATATGGCTGACGGTAAAGGTAAAGAGAAGTTTAAAGGAACAAACATTAGGTATTTACTTGTAAGTTAAGTGTAAAATTATATATTTTTAAAAATCACAGTTCGTTTTTTTAATGCTATTTTATTTTTAACTTTTTGATGTATTTGATGAAAATTACTCAGGCAATACCTTTTTTATAGAGAGAGTTTTGTCAATTAAAGTGACTGCTACAGTTGCCGAAATAAGAAAAGGAATAATGACTTTATTAAAATACGCACTCGACAGATCAAATGGTGGTGGTCGGCGCGTAAAAGGCGATTAACCCGATGTATAACATTCATACTTTTTCCTAGTTGTTCTGGAACTATTGATAATAGTTATTATTGATTAATTGATAAATATATTACTGATAAATAAAACTTTTTTTTTTCAAACATTTTATTTTATTTGCATTGTATATAAAGTCCTTTGAAGCAATTTAGTTGTATCTGATTAACTTACGTGAAATATAATATCCTCTGCGCAAATTATTGCTTTTTTATTGTGTTATTTTATTGCAATTAAAGTTGAGAAAATTTTTTAGTTAATTGGATTTAACCAAAATAAAAAACAAAAATCAACGTTGAATTTACGTTGTTTCAACGTTGTTTTAACGTCTTATCAACTACGTATCAATCAAATATATCACCTACTCAAAGTTGAAATATGGTTGATATGTAGTCGGTAAGACGTTAAATCAACGTTGAAACGACGTAATCATCGACGTTGTTTCAACGTCGTAGTTTTCGACGTCGGATTTTATTTCCAATTCAACCAAATTTCAACGTTGTTTCAACGTGGCATATGGTCGGTTTGCAACGTTGTTTCAACGTTATTTCAACGTCATTGTGCCGGCTGGGTCGTTTATGATTTATTTATTAGTCGCTTTGCTTTCAGTTGTTGTAAGAAAGTGAATCTTGAAAACGCATTAATGTATAATTTATTAATTTAGCTAATGAAAAATAATTTTTCAGCATTAAAATATTTTATTTATGTTAAATTTTGTTTTAATTATGTCTACTTAAACCGCGTGGATAAGCTGTTATGTGAATCTTCTGACCAATGGCTATATTACTAAATTATAATATATTAAACGTTTATTAAACGTCAATCGAACATTTAGAATAGCGACTTATATTAGTCAATATTGTAATTGTTTGATCGACGTTTCGTAAACGTATATATTAAAAGAGTTAAAGCGTAGATTTTCAATCTATAAATGCCTACGTTTAATTAAGGTCGAATAATGGTTTGCAATATTAACTAATATAAGTTGAAGCGGTTTTCATGATACTTCTGCCAGGAAGTTAAAAACATGTTTTTCTGAGAAAACTTCCAAATATTCTAAAATTAGGATGAAAAACATGATAAAACAACAGAAATACAGGATAAATCATAGAAAGTAAGTATAATAATATTTTTGAAATCATAAGCACCAGCTCATACGTATTTTCTTTTTTATGTTAAAACCTGTTTTAACATTTTTTATGCTTGCGGCCATACGAAATCTTCCTTCATTTCTTGATGATGTCTTGACTTTTATATTCTGACATGCTAACTTTTCTCCAATATAAGTAAATGCAACCAGATACGGTATGGTATATACGGTAAATAAAAGGATACAAAATACTAATCCTATATTAAAGACTTCAATAGCATCATAGAGTCAACATTTCAGCTGCCAAAGCAAAATATACTTTGACTCGGACCATATCAAAATAAAAGCTTTAATGCAATAATAAGGTCGTAAATACCAATATTCAGGACGATATCATTGCATTAAAGCTTTTATTTTGGTTATGTTTATTGGACAAAGTAAACATAACCAAAATAAAATTGTTTTTTGAACTGCCTGAAACGAGACCCATTTACTTACACTAATACCCTTCTTGTACTTTTGACAATAATGTAGCTTTTGTTATGACTATAACTCAAATATTCTGTGTGTCTAAATTAAATTTCTTCACAGAGCTATAAAATATCTTTGTTGCATCAGCTGAATCCATCCGATTGGCAGATATTTATAGTTTTTATTGCAAATGTGTGCTTGCTATTTTTTCTGCTCGAGTTTGCTGCTGCTTTGATTTGAAGGTTTTTTGATTTTTGTCACATATTTTTCATTTTCTAGAAGCTGCTTGAGGTCTAAAACTTTCCCATTTTTTATGGGCAGTGTTTAAGTCACCTCATTGTGTGAACTATATCCTTCTATTGGTATGTTTCATCAACAGAAACTCCAGGACTTACAATCTCGTATTGAATATTTGCTTTCCCTGAGTTCTGGTACAGTTTAATGGATAGTGTCTTTAACAGTTGTTTGTGCTGCAATTGCCAATTTCAACAAAAACGGCAAAAAAGCGAGACTAAATGTGTTTAATTGATAATTCTCCTGTAACTTTTGTAGTTAAAGTTGAACATTAATAGTGCGCAAAAATATCATTTATTTTAATAATAAAATTGATATTTGAAAAGCGTTTTCACCATTAAATTTCAAAATGAATTTTTTTATAATTTGGCTACAAAAAATAAAAAAGTTTTTAAGAGTTATTCATGCTCAACATCATGCTATTTTCAAATGAGTTTGACTTTAATAAACTTTAAGTAATATCAAAAAAATTATAGGGATCTACTTAATTTAAAAGCCAATATGAACTTTGTAGCAAATGATATAAATCATATAGTTTTGTACATGGAAACGTTGTGAAGTTTTTCAACTTTATTACTTAGTTATTCATTACCATATAAGTATGCTTATATTCCAAAGAGGAGTGCTAAAAAAAAGTTGGTTCTATACTGTCGACAAAAAATTTCAAAAATAGAAAAACTCTTTTACTCAAAATGTATATCAATTAAAGTTTTATTTTTTATTTATTTATGTTGAAACGGAAGATAAACTCGACCCCGATATTTTATCAAAACTTATATGTTATTAAAAAGTATGACACATTAAATCATATCCTTACTTGTTAACATGCTCTCTTCACACAGATGCTCTCTTCACAAATTTGAATAGTTTTTTTTAAACGACCTTGCGGAGTTTTTATTTAGAAACTATTATCTTCAAACAGTTTTGATTCTACCCTAAATTTGAAACGTCCGATTTACAAAAATAAACGGAAAAAAGTTATTTTTTTTCATAGTTAACAACATTTAAAAAACAAAGAAACCAAGTATTTATAAAAATCAATAAAATAACAAAAATGCTATAATTTTTAAAGATTTCGGTTCCTAAGTTATATTTTAAAAATATGTTTACATTAAAATAAAAAAAAAAAGATCACAGAAACTTGAAGAGAACCAGTGGACCTAGTCAACTCAACAGTTTAATAATATAATGAGAATTATCATTATACTGTTAAACTGTTGAGTTGACAAGGTCCACCGGTCTCTTCAAGCTTTTGTGTTCTTTTTTTTTATAATTTAAAGCAGCAATATAGGAAAATAAATTTGAGCAAAAATAACAAAAACATTAACGAAGTTAACACAAATAATACACTTAATCATTACAATAAAATTTTTATTATTTAAAACTTATTTTATATATATATATATATATATATATATATATATATATATATATATATATATATATATATATATATATATATATATATATATATATATATATATATATATATATATATATATATATATATATATAATATATATATATATATATATATATATATATATATATATATATATATATATATATATATATATATATATATATATATATATATATATATATATATATATATATATATATATATATATATATATATATATATATATATATATATATATATATATATATATATATATATATATATATATATATATATATATATATATAACTTAAAAACACTTACAAATATCTTTTTGCAGCTAAAACTTTAGACAACAGTTTCATATATATTTTATGTTGTACAAAAACTTTTTTTTTAAGTTTAATCTTGCTTATTGTATACGATATACAAATGCATTGTACATGTTAGACTTGCGGTATAAGATTACACAAAATCCGCATTAAGTACTTAAATTTATCAAAACGCTCCTAGAAAGCTGTTAAAAAGATATTATTTTTATTAAAAAAAAAATTAACTATTAGCATAGCTATTTTATAGGCATTTATATTGGATGATAGCAAATCTTAGATTGGTAAAACGTAACTTAGTACAAATAAGAACTAAAGAGCTTTTTTAAAATAGGAGCTAAAATCCATTTTTCTAAAACTGGGTTTTTTCAACATTCAGATTTTTTATAATAAAAGATACAATTCAAATTATGTTAGCATTAATAAAAAACTTGTTCATTATCTTTAATTATAATTTCAAAAATAATGATATTCAAAATGGTCTTTTTTTTTAACTTTTTTTATCTATTAACGCAAAGATTCCCAACCTTTTTTTACTCTAAAGCACATTCTAAAACAATGGTATGGCGGTGGACTTCACCTATTTTTAATCTACTAGCTCTTTTCATATTTTCTTATTTTTCCATATTTTATTTTCTTATATGCATAATTTTTTAATAAACAATTAAACAAAAATTGTTTCAAAATATTAAAATTACTATTCTAATTACATATACTTGAAGAAATGTATTTACAAAACATAATCAAAATAAAGAAAATACATAAATACAATGAAAACATTTTATACGTATATGTAATTCGAGTAGATGTATTTTGAATAGTAATTTTAATATTTTGAAACATTTTTGTTTAATTGTTTATTAAAAAATTATGAATCACATAAGTATGTCAAACCAAAGTGCAATTTAATTTTGTATTCACCTTTTTTCAGAAACGGAAACTTATCTCTGCCTACTGTATTTCAAAAGTCCTCTGAAATTACGGATTTTAGCAAAATATCATTTTTACGGTCAAAAATTAAAGTTCTTCTGTCATCCCTTGAGCAAAATTTCCAATGTATGGGGCCATTTTGATTACATTTATTTGGCAAGTAAAAGTGTTGATACAGAAGGAAAAAATTGGCTCCTTATGTGGAAACTGCAAAAATCTTTCTTTAACTATTTTTTAAGCGCTTGAAGGTGTTTAATAAATAATGACCTATTTAGTTCATTCCTATCTAGCATTTTCTTCATATGGAAGATATGCACAAAAGGATTAATCAGCAGATGTAGTAAAACAAATCCAATTTATATTTAAATAAATTTACAGAGCTCATCAATTCAGCTATATTTTTGTCTTGTTCCGAATGTACTATAAAAACCGTCGCCCCACGTGTTTCATTACAAAGGTAATCTTTGCGACATTTCTTCTATTAAGGTAATCTTTGCAACATATCTTCTTTTATTATAAAGTTACTAATTAACATTCTCACAGTTACTGCTAACTGGGCATTGTCTGATATAACTGTTGACTCGTCAATTTGTAGCGAAAAAACAGTCACTTATGTTTACTAATTAGGCTCTAACCGAGTTATAGGCTCTAACCGAGAATGAAAGTGATCTTCTTTTTGCGACGATATGTGAAAATTTGAAAGAAGAAATGGTAGCTAATTTTCTATATGCTTAGTCATTCACTAAAAGCCAAGAGATAAGTTGTTTAATAGCAACATTTTTTGTTTTAATGTCGTTTTTTTTATCTTAGGTGTTCACATAAACATTCTCAAAGAGTAAGTTTCTTGTTTTATATTTATTTAGTTTTAATTGTAAATTTATAATTTTTTTCTTGTTTTTATTTTAAAACGAATTAACAAATACATTTTGAAAATTATTGTGTATCTGTGTTTTTAAAAATAATTTTATTACACTTTTAGGTAGAGTTTCTGCTGTTACACCTGCTATTGCTGATGTAAGTACTAAAACTTTCAGGAAGTTCAATTGCTGTAAGTTATTTTCATTTAAATTTAAATTATAACTTTGTTAAAGAATCTTCTGTCTGTGAAATAGGTAATTCTGAATGTTTCAGATAGATTTCAATGTCCTGACGTAGTAATTTGCTAATCAGTCTGTAAATTAAGCAATAGTTTTAAACAGATGAATTAATTGGATTCTACGATTCTTTATGCATATTTGCATGGATTTTTTATAATTTAACTTGAAATTTTATTCTTCAAGACTAGGTAAATAAATAAAAACAATTCAGTCTGTAAAATTAACGATTTTAGATAATCCCGACAAATTATGAAAAAAAATATTATGGCATTTAATTTTTATATAGTTTTGTATCCCTATCGAAATTTTAAGTCAAACATAATAACAGTTAGAAGTTATGAAATACGTTCAAAGTCAAATTGCCCAATTGGTTTGTGCAACCCTTTTGCAGTAATTTACTGATCGGTCTGTAATTTATGCAGTAATTTCAAAATGATTTGTTTTTTACATTTCATGATTCCTTAATGCATATTTGGATATTTGCACGCTTGGTATTTTTTTGCATACTTGCATTTGCCTTTGTATATTTGCATATTTGGTAACCCTAATTTTTGTTCTTCATTACATAATTAAGTAAAAAAAAATTCATTCCGTAAAATAAACGATTCTATGTGATTCCGACAGATTTATTAAAAAATGGATCACTATTTAAAATTTCAAGTCAAATGTAATAACGGTTCGCAAATATCAAAAAAGTTAAAAAAATATCAAACTATTTAAAGTTGATATGTTCAATCTTTTGTACGGTCCATTTTCAGCAATTTACAGACCAATTTGTAATTTAAGCGATTATTTTACTGGCCGGTTTGTAAATTATGCAATAGTTTTCAAATGATGTATTTTTTAGATTCCACGATTTCTTTATGCATATTTGCATAGTATAATGATAACTTGACTCCAAATTTTATTCTCCAAAAATAAGAAAATAATATAAAAAACTTCAAACAGTAAAATAGATGATTCTGGTCAATCGCTACAGATTTTCTTTAAAAAAATTTTGGTTTCCTTTTTTCTCATAGTTGTTTGATCACTGTGAAAAATTTCAATTCAAATATAATCACTATTTAAAAGTTTTTAAAAAGCCAGTATGACCCCAAAAAAATATAAGTTAATAAAAACTCTCAGTCTGTAAAATAGGTGATTCAAGACAATTCCGACAGATTTTTAAAAAAAAATTTGCAATTTGATTTTTTTATAGCTGGTGGGTCACTATGCAAAATTTTAAGTTAAGTGTATTAACGGTTCAAATTTTATTAAAAAGTTAGTATGACCCAAAAAATATATAAATTGGTAAAAAATCTCAGTCTGTAAAATAGACGATTCTGGTCATTCCCGACAGAAATTCCAAAAAACTTTTGGAATTTTATTTTCTTATAGTTGGAGGGTCACTGTGTAAAATTTCAATTCAAATATATTAACGGTTCAAAAGCTATTCAAAAGTCAATAATACTCTCATTTTTGGTGCCATATCATAGCAAATTTTACATAGTTAAGCCGTATACCTTTTGTCAAAAAATTATCAATTTTTTCACCACAAAAAGTTCAATAACTTTTGATCCGCTTAACTTCAAAGGCCAAATGACCCCTCATTTTATAAGTCAATACAATGACATCAATTATATTTGAAAATTTGAATTATAAAAAAATTGTCTGGAATGGCTACAGTTGTAAACATTTCATCATAAAATATTTTTACTTTATTGTCATAATTGTATAGTAAACAATTCATATTTAAATTTCCTAGTATATAATTTTTTTCTTTTCATAGATTCCTTTGTTAATTATTTTTTGTTGTAAATACAAGCTGAAATTTTCGACGTACCATCAGGTAGCCTGTAACAGCAGCTTAAGAGAAAATTGTTTTTTTTTTCGTTTTGTTGAAAATTTCAATGGTTACGATTTCTTTATCGCCGTCAGAAACGCTCAAATCATTCCTAATACAATGTGCAATTATATACAGGAGTATAATTTGTTAACAGTTTTTATTTTTTTTATTTTTAAAAAGAAGTTCTTTTTATTTCGTTAGGATACAGATACGAGCACACAGTTGTCCAAAAACGGGGTCTTAACCTCTTCGGAAATGACCCAAAAAATCCCTTTAAGGGATTTTTTGGGATTTTTTGTCTTTGATTCTATAGATATTAAAGATCATTTTTAAGATAAAAATAAAATTTTTTAATTATTTTGCAAGAGAAAATTGCATTTTAAAGTTTCCGTCTAGATACACCAAAAACCTTTATTTTAAAAAAGTATTTGCACAGCCAAAAGTTCAAAAAAAACTTTTTTTTGCCTAAAATTATACAAGCATTACAAACTAATATCTATTAGATTAAAAATTGTTTTAATAATGAATATTTGTATATACATTCCAATACTAGTGTATCAACGCCAGCTCTAGCCCAACAAGCGACATTGGTACGGAAGGAGGCGTGAACTTCCTGTTAAATGCTCACCCGCGGTGCTCTATGATAAGACCGCAAGGACTTCTGGAAGCACCTAAATACATACAAAAAAAAAAAAAAAAAAAAAAAAAAAATATACAACATAGATATCAAACTTCTTTTAATTTTTTAGTAGGATAAAAAACTTAAAGTTGATATGAAAATTTATTTCTTAAGCATGACATTGTTTAAAACAACTTTTTTCAAAAAAAATGTGCATATATTTCTAAATATATATATATATATATATATATATATATATATATATATATATATATATATATATATATATATATATATATATATATACATATATATATATATATATATATATATATATATATATATATGTATACCCAGAAAACATGGTTTGAAGGACCTATATAGATCCAGTAGAGAAAAGGCTAGTGGTCCATTAGCAGCCTGTCGCTTATGGACAAGTTGAGTTTTGCTCATCGGTTACTGAGTGGACCAATAGCGGCACAGCCCTTAAGCGGTCGGTTAATGGTCCTATAGCGGCATGTGCTGTGAATGGTCAGCTGGTGGACATACAGTGGCACGTGCCATTAACGGTCAGCCAGTGAATTTGTATTGGCAATACACAACCAGCGTATTCCTATTGGCAATACACCGTGTATTCCTATTGGCA